AAGCATATGGTGTTTGTGTTTGTGTGTTCTCTGAGCCCCGAGACGCACGGCGCTCCTCAGAGGACTCATTACAAACAGTACAAACCCTTCCCCGCTCCTCCCTGCCTGCAGTCCAGGTGCAGCGTGTTCTCTCTGCTCCGATTAAACATTTTTCTGCTTCAACTTCGGTCGCACAAAGTTGTATAAGAAAATGTTTCTCTCTTCTGTTACCCCCCCTGTACCTGCCTCTTTCCTGTCTCATAAAACACCTGCATAAAGGTTTGGTTCAAATAAGAAACAAACAAATGTGGATGTTATAAAGGTCAATCCCCACATTTTATAACAATACATTTTTTTTTCTTCTAAAGATTACACAACAAATTGCATTTTAACTGTTTTATGAGGTGATTAAGGAGATAAACATGCATATGCAAGGTTTCAGAACATTTTAGTGTCCAATTAAAACAGCACTCTGCACTGATGGATGGAGGAAGAGTATCGGAGATGATTCTTTTACTTCATGTACTGAAAAATAAGGTTGCACGTTGCATTTTAATGTCAGTTTCAGCATCATGATCATGGATCTGCTCGTCCTCTGGAGACCTTTTATGGTGCAGTACCAGCAGAGTACCAGCAGAGGGCACTGTTGGGAAACTTTAGCTTCAGAAAAGCAACAGGACTAAACGCATGCTTGTTTTCTGCGATCTGATGTTTGCGTTGTCGTCTTTGCTCTGTGGTTTCCAGGCGGACCTGAATTATAACGTGCAGGACGACCCCGCGGCCTTCTACGGTGTGACCAGCCAGTACGAGAGCTCGGAGAACATGACAATCACCTGCTCCACCAAGGTCTGCTCCTTTGGCAAGCAGGTGGTTGAGAAGGTTGAGGTGAGGACTGAGGATAACTGCTAAATAGAAACATGTTGGGTTTATTCACACAGCAGCTGATTTCTGCATTCAGACTGAAAAAATATTGATACTTGCAATCTTTAATTAATGTTTTAAAAGTCCTGTAACTCCCTATGCGGGCTTTAAAACCACCACATCCTTCATTTTCTTCACCTTAAGCCCTCGATGGCATCAAATAATCCCTTATGACACTAGCAAAAATGATTATGTCAGGCCTGGCAGTTTTCCACAGCTGCACATAATGTTACACAACCCTTTTCAAAGGCTGAGCTTTTCACTAGAAAGCTGCTTTTGATGTGTAAAACTGACGGAGGTGCCTTTCATTGGTGCGTTGTGTAAGATTATTTGGCTAAAGCATCTCCCTTTGCTTCCCCCTCTCTCGCAGACGGAGTACGCGAGGTTTGAAAACGGGCGTTTTGTCTACAGAATCAGTCGTTCGCCGATGTGCGAATACATGATCAACTTCATCCACAAGCTCAAACACCTGCCGGAGAAATACATGATGAACAGCGTGCTGGAGAACTTCACTATTTTGCTGGTGAGGGCAGAGACTGCGTCTCTCTGTGTGCTCTACTGTTTATGTCATGCAAATATATATTTACCGCCTTCCTTCTCTCGATGGGTGAAAATGTTACACTAATGCAGTTAATCTAAGTCCGCTTTTCCTCATTCTCTGTTATATCGTTACTGTTATCATGGCAATTGCTTATATTAAACATGAAGCTTCAAATAATGAGGTCAACATATGTAGAGGTAATCCCCATGAGATAAAAGCTCAGGTTTCATCCTGTCTAAAAGCTGAGTTTTTAAACTCTTAGACCTCTGTGATGTCAGAGTCATAGAGGCTAATTATTAATATCCTTAATATGATCATCTCACACTGACAGCCAATCAGTAGAAAGCTGGATTACAGAGGGGGAGATTTTAAAGGGAGGACAGCTAAAACCGCTTGCTTTAGAGAGTGGATAAGGTAAAGACTGTATATCAAAGATGTACAGTGTGGCATTAATGACGGAGCCGACCACAGGCTTGTGCTTTTAAGCATCTCTTTATTAACTCGGTTGCTGTTAAACACACGCGAATGGCCTCGGCTCTCCCGCTGCCAGCCGCACGCATCACCAACAACAATAACCCAGGACCCAGTGCAGATCTTAAAGCTAACGACGCGTGCTGCCGATGCCGTGCAGG